GCAGCATGACAGAATGAACATTGGGAATTATGTGACCCACCAATGCCTTTTGTGTGGCCCTTTGAGACACCTCTCCATTTCCTGAAAAAGGATGGTAAAAAGGAGACTCATGCCTTCAGAAGGGTCATTTCATATATTAAATACTATTTCCCACATCTTGTTTTGGTCCCAAATATTATCCATTTATTTTTATGTATTAAAAGTGTTTGCTTATCTACCAGGGCTGATAAGCAATGCACCACAGATACAAAAACCTATCTTGGAAACATATTAAAAACAATGTTTTCAAAACAGTTTACAAAACACACAATTTAAACAGTCTCCAAAGCCAATCCTGGTTTTAAGGACCAAAAACCATAGGAAAAACACAACCCTGGATGCCTGCCAGGGATGCAAGAGGGATAGAGACAGTACTGAGGTGCTGCTCCTGAGAAATCCCTGTTTCATGCAATCACCCCCCAGGCCTTTTGGATCATTATTTTGGATTATTTCTGGTTTCGTTAGAAAGGGTCTGAGAGGAGCCAGGAATTGGGCAGATGCAGACTTCACACCCTCCACAGTTGCCTCCCTTGCAATACAGTGAAAAGCTTTCATGAAGATGGGTCTTTCAGCAGCTCAGCCTTCCAGCTCTCTTCCCTCTGCTGCAAACTGCTGGAATGGATGCCAGTCAGAAATTCTGAATTTATATATTTTGCAGGAAAGCACTGGACAGGTTTGCCCACCTTTCAAATTGAATTAGCATTTCAGGTGAAGTATTCAAATAGACATGGTTCCTCCACCCTGCTTCTTTAGTAGTGGGATTTGCAGGTCCGTACCTGTTTGTCTGTCTATCTGTCTATCTATTCACTGGCCTGTCACCTGAATTTCCAGATTTGTGAGCAATAGTCTTATCATAATAGACAGGCATAATATCAACATTCACATTAAGGAATATCTAATATGGGGAAATAAACATATGCTTTTAAAATCTTTTACTGGTTTAAGTGTTGGTCTGGGAGACTAGAGTTTGAATCCCTACTCAGCCATGGAAACCCATTGGGCAAGTCACACTCTCTCAGCCTAAGGGGAAGGCAACAGCAAATCTCCTCTGAATAAATATTGCCAAGAAAACACTATGATAAGGCTGCCATAAATCAGTCAACTTCCAGGCACATAACAGACAATGCAATACTACACAATGGTAAGGAATTAACCATCTTGAATGACATCTATAACAAAGTAATATGTGGAGTAATGCTGTAAAAAGCATCTATGAAGAAAACCATACTTATCCACAGACATCTTTATACATTCTTATATATCAAAAGTACAAGCATCTGTTATATATTTTTCATGAAAGGAATTGCACCATTAGTCTATTACAGTATTTAAAATATATAGTTAAAGCCAAGCAATGTGTCCATCTAAAACCCTATTGCCTAGCTCATAACCTTTCAGCCATACTTAGGGCCTTTACAGATTGCAAGAAATAGTGCAGCTTGAGGCCACTTTAACGGCCCTGGCTCAGTGCTAGGGAATCATGGGAATTGTATTTTTTTCTGGGACATTGAGCCTTCTCTGTCAGAGAGCTCTGGTGCCACAATAAACTATAGTTCCCATGATTCCTTAGCCCTGAGCCAGGACAGTTAAAGTGGCTTCAAGTTGCACTATTTCTGGCAGTCTGTAAAGGCCCTTAATTTGTCATGGAGGGCTGGTAAATTAGGACTGACGTGTTAAGAAATGTCAAAAAATTTTAAGTTTGATTTCAGCCCTGTTTCTCATATTCTCTGCTGAGAGAAGATACACTGCAATCATGTTTGATGTCCTTTGTCTAAACTTTGTCCAGAAATTTGCCGTTGCCTAGCATTGCAGGACAATTGGTGGGGTAGTAATAGGGAAATGGCAGAGTGGAAACTCAAGACCTCAGTTTGATATCTTTTCCCAAGATACTACAGCTGTATTAAATCAGGGAGTTGAAGAACCCACTAAGCTGCAAGAGATATTTTAGACTTGATTTGGGGGGGATGCAGACCAGGGCGTCGGAGACGCCCTGGTCCGGAGCGCCACCGGAGTTCAGCCTCCGGACCGTGGCGCTCCTGCGGCATATCTAAAAGGAGCACCAAATTGGCGCTCCTTTTAGATTCAAGGGAAAGTGCGCCCCAAAAGCGGCGGGCGCACTTTCCCTGGCTCAAACGGCGCAGCGCATGTGGGCGCTGCGCCGTGAGGTCATCCCCGGTGCGCCGGCCGTGTGGACGGCCGGCGCTTCTGGGGGCGACCTCGGGGAGAGGAAGGGGCGCCGCTCGTGCGGCTGCCCCTCCTCTTCCCTGCCCGGAAGACGACTCTTTTAGTCGTCTGCCGAGGCCCTTAGTTCCAGTGGTAAAGCTAGGGCAAACTAAAACCCATTTAAATAGTTAAGTGAGCCCCACTTAGGGTATCAGATTAAAAGATAAAAGTAGGGAATCCCAAAATCCTCTCAGAGAATCCTCTCAGACAGACACACAGAAGCTCTCCTTGACAGTTTTATTAGCCTAAAGAGTATTTCTCATTCAGAAAAAAATGTTGAATTTTGTTCTTTTTATCTAAACAATTTCTAAAGTTCAGAGTTACATCTGAAAGTGTTCCAGATACAACTCTGAACTTTAGAAATTGTTTAGATAAAAAGAACAAAATTCAAGATTTTTTTCTGAATGAGAAATACTCTTTAGGCTAATAAAACTGTCAAGGAGAGCTTCTGTGTGTCTGTCTGAGGGGCCATTGATGTTACATACCATATCCTCTAACTTCTGAAAAATGAAAACAGGACATTCTTGACACTTGGATATTATTGTTACAGGAGTTACTCCTCATGGCTTTCCTATTACCAACATGACAGATTGATGAAAACTTGACTGCCTTTTCTTTTGCTCTTCCAGAGGCTGTCCTCCCCTGGTTTAAAAGCCAAGATAATGTTTGTTCTTTGTGTCAATCATATACTAAGGAAATACAGTTGCCCTGCGTCATGTTATCATCATTCTAAAACAGACAGCGGCAGTTCATGGCCTCCATGTTCGTGTGGGGATGAAAGTACGCCAACTTTTAGAAATTAAAACTTTAATGGAGCTATCCAAGGTGCTGAACATCTTTGAAGGCTAGAGTTCAGCACCTTGAATATCTTCTTTAAAGTACAGTCACCTCTCTGTTTTCATGGACTTCAAGTCCATGCCCCTTGTCTGTTCATGGGCGGCAAATGGAGGGGGACAAAATGGGGTGCGTGGCCCCATGGCAGCGCACCTCCATTCAAGCCAATAGGGCTTGAATATCCACGATTTTCCATTTTTGTAGAGGGCAGGTATCCAGAACAGATCCCCCATGAGAACAGAGGGACGACCTTATAAACTAAAATATCCCGAGTAGATTCACTGTCCCACTGCCATGTAAGTCATTAGTTGCTACTGAAAACATACTGGGGGTGAAAAGGCAGGGTGTGTTTGCTTGATTCCTCAGTATGCATATGTACCATGGATCTCCACACCAAATCAGTACATATATACTTCCACAGAATTTCTGACTTACAGAGACCCTAAGGCACCTCCTTGCAGGTGGGGGGGCAACAGAATTATAGCCAAACAGCACAAGTCACTACACATCTACTCAACAGCAAATCCTCTTGAGTTCTGTGCGGCTTCCTCCCAGTTTAAGTGTGTATGGGATTACAGCCTAAATCTTGCAGAGATTGCACAGTGGAATGCAAGCCCTATTTAGAAACATTGCTGGATATCCTTGCAAAATATATGCTCTCATGATGGACTCTTACATAGCAATGAAAGCAAGGCACACTGCAACGTAATTTGTCCTTTACGTTTTGTATAACTGCTTGTACTCCCATGTACTTCAGTACTCAGAGAAAAAAAGGAATGTACTTTCAAGCACAATAGTCCATAAGGCATTCTTCTTTTCAAGGTTATAACTTTGTATAGTAGACTGTTCTTCTGTGTACTTCAGCTCTATAATGAGATATACAGCATTAGAACCACTTTAGTATTTTAAAGTAACAAACCTATGGTTTCATTCCTATGTTAACAGAAATTTTTGTCTTCTGACATCCATGTCTTTTCAGATGTAAGTCCCATTAAGTAGAGCTTCTTCTTAGATAGATGTGTTTAGCAATGGCAGGAATCATGTTGCCCTCCTGTTTTAGTTATTTATTTCTCAGTTTCCTCCCAATCCAGGACTTGAGGTGGCATACAAAAGTTAAAACTCACATGCATTGTTGTTGTTACATGCCTTTATTTGCAATTTATGGTGACCTATCATGGGATTTTCTGGGGCTCAGATTGTGTGGTTTGCCCAAGGTCACCCATCAAGGGGTATAAATCCAATAATAAATAAATAAATGGTCAAGCTAACAACAGAATTAAAAGCAGTTAAAAGAATGACCATTAAAAGAAAACAACAAATAAATGGTACAGAGCATTCTGAAAGAAACTTTCTCCCTGAGCAATCAGCCCTCAGAAGCCTGCTAAAACAAAATGGCCTTTACTTGCCTATGGCAGAATAGCAAAGAGGGCAGAGGTCTAACCTCTAGGAACAGAGTTCCTGAGCTAGGGAGCAGCTATCAAGCAGGTCCTCTCCTGTGTCCGCACCAAATGAACTTGTGACAGTAGTGGGACAAAGAAAAATGGTTCCCTAAAGATCTCAAAACATGGACAGGCTTGTATGGGAGAATGTGGACCTGCAATAATCTGGATCCAAGCCATATAGAGCTTTTTAGGTTCTAACTGGCACTTTGAATTGTGCCTAGAAATGGTCTGGCAGCCAGCGGAGTTGTTGCAACAGGAGACTAGTATGATCCCTGTTGTTGTGCTAAGCAATGGTGGATCCAATGAAACAGGGGAGCCTTCAAGTTGTTTCTGACTTATAGAGACCCTAAGGCAAACCTATCATGAGGTTTTCTTGGCAAAATTTGTTCAGAGGAGGTTTTCCATCGCCTTCCCCTGAGGTTGAGAGCATATGATTTGTTCAAGGTCGCCCAGTAGGTTTCATGGCCAAGTGGGGAATTGAACCCTGGTCTCCAGAGTCCAACACTCCAGAATCCAATACTCAAACCACTATGCCACACTGGACCCTATGATCCCTGTAGCCAGTTTCAATTAACAATCTGGCTGCAGCTCTTTAGACAGGGTGAAGATTCTGAACCCTCTTCAAAGGCAGCACATTAAGAGCACATTAAAGTCATCTTAAATGGGCTGTAACTAAGGCATGTGTCACTATAGCCATTTCTAGGACTGGGCACTATGAGCACATGAGCCGTAACTATCCAAAAGTACTTCTGACCACTTCAGAGCTTCCATGCTCAGTGCTGAATCCAGAAGTACACCAAACTGTAAACCTGTGTCTTTAGGGGGAGTGCAACCTCATCCAGCCCAAGATGAGTCCCTGCCTTTTGACTGAACAGGAGCACCTCTGTCTTGTCTGGATTAAGTTTCAATTTATTCACCTTCATCCAGTCCGTTACTGACAGCAGACATCAGTTTAGAACTAAAACAGCTTCCTTGGATTAAAGCAGAAAGGAGCAAAGGAATTGGTGTCATCCCCATACTGATGGCACTGGACTCCAAAACTCTGGACAACCTCTCCTGGGACATTATCACACGGGGGCAAATCTGCTGGTTAATCCACACAAAACCCAAACAGAAACTGGATTAGTGCCCCGTGTTTTCACACGGCATTGCACAGAAACTGGACAGAAACTGGAAAGAAACTGGTGTTAACGGAGATCTTTTGAAATTCGGTTGTTTGGAGGAAATGCAAATGCGCAATTAAGGTAATTTCGCATTTACTGTAATGTGATAGCCAAATGTGCATTTGGGAGCATTTCCCTGCTTTTCCCATGGTTCCAGTGAGCATTCCTCTATCTGTGCATGTGCAAGAAGCTCATTTCTAGTACATTTACGTGCTTTTCTTGCTGGTGTGTGAACGTTAAATGAGCTTACTTTAATTTCACAATTAAGGTAATTCCTTTTGCGGAATCAAGGTTTATTTTCAGTTTATTTTCAGAATGCCTCATTTCCACTTTATTATCGCTTTCTGGCCCACGTGTGATAATGTCTCCAGGGTTCATGTGTATGGTAAATAGTATGGGAGACACCACAGTCCAACATCCAAGGGGTTTACCAAAAGTTCTTCGGGACCCCCTTTTGGCTTCACCCCTCCAGGAAATAAAAGAGCTACTATAAAACAGAGCATGCAAGGTCCATCCCATTCAGGAGACCCAGAAGGATACCGTGACTGATGGCACTGAAAACTACAAGTTTTGGCTGAGAGGTCAGACAGAAGCAACAGAGGCACACTCCCCATATCCAGTTCCCTGTGAAGATGGTCCTCTAACATGATCAAAGTTCTCTTTCTCTCATAGTCAGGCTTGAAACCAGATTGGCGTGAATCTAGATAATCAGTCTCATCAAGCTCCAGTACTCTGCACAAAAATGGAAAATTGGAAACTAGTTGGTAGTTGTCCAATACAGTGGATCCAGAAAGGGCTTTTTCAGCAGTGATCCTATAACTGCCTCTGTTAGGCATGATGGAACTTTATCTTGCTTTAATGAGGCATTGATGTTCTTGGCCTGTAATTCCCAGCACTCTTCATTATGGGCCGATGGGAACCAGACTGGCAGATATAGTAAACCACAGTTGCCACAGATATGATGTCGGTGTACAAATTATGGCAATCCCCTTCACTGATGCAATAAGAGAAAAATAGTTCTGGGTGAGTACTTTTCAGATATAAAGTGGCTTCTAGGGAAATATTCAGTACATGAATGTGTTTATAATGTTTATATTCGATATCACTTTTCTCATGGACATCCCTCCAAAGAGAAAAGCACAGATAAATAAAATCTGCTTCAGACTGGCAAATTGGTCATTACAGTGAACATATTCTTGGCTTACACTGACCTCTAGGAGTTAGGTGAGAATCACATATTAAGACGAGGGAAATGGCTCTCTTCCCTGTAGCTGCCTTCAAATCTGTTCAGATTGGTCCATACCATTAGAGCAGGGGTAGGCAACCTAAGGCCTGGGGGCCGGATGCGGCCCCCCGAGGCCTTTGGACCGGCCCCAGGCTGGTCCTGCCACCGCCTCCGCCACCTGCCATGATGATATTAATTATTGTTGTTGTTACTTGTTCTTGGGATTTTCTTGGCAAAATCTCCACAGGGTTTTTGCCATGGCTTTTCTGGGGCTGAGAGAGTGTACATGCATATTTTTTATTTTTAAATTAATTAATTAATTTGTTTGTTTGTTTTTAATTAATTTTAATTTATTTATTTATTTATTTGTTTGTTTGTTTTTGGTGCTTCGGCCTCCCAATTGTCTGAGGTACAGCATCCCGGCCCCCAGCTGAAAAAGGTTGCCTACCCCTGCATTAGAGGCTGAAGTAAGTATTCTCCATGCATGCAAGTACAGATTCAGACCACAATAACAGATGTCAACAGGAAGATGATTATAGATTCACTGTCACAATTCCCCTCCTCAACAAGTGTACTCACAAGTGAACAGATGGAGGACATGTCCTGGAAAAGGAGGATCTCTGGCCACGCTGTTTGGTTGGCCCAATAAAGGTAGTATCACCATTTTGTGGAATCTGGATGTTATTGTACTCATGTTTCTCTCCATGAGGCTCCTTCCAACTGGATGAGTCTATATTTTAAAAGCAACCAAAATAGGATGACAGAGGATTAATGGGAACTCTGCTTGTTAAATCAGGGCAGTTGGAAGGTATGTCTTTTTAATCCATCGGTCTCTTTGGTTTGTGTGCGTTTTCCAGTCACTTGTCCAGTTATGGCGACCACATTAATAGGGAGGGACATAGATAAGGATGGTATGAGCAGAGTGGAGAGGACAGCTAAATTTGTTGGCGCATGGCAAATAGAAGTGTATTGTAATCATGAAAGGAGGGGTTTTGGAGTTGTGTTCTGTAACCAATCAAAATGTGGAATTATGCATATATTAATATAATTATAAGCTAGCTGTGTAAGAAGGTATATAAGGATGTTGATTAGCAAAGGAGGGGGTGCTCTCAGGCCCCTTGACGTTATAAACTCATTTTTTCCTGATTCAAGGGTCTCTGGTTCCTGCGTTATCTATAATACAAGTACTAATCAGGGCTGTCCCTGTTTAGCTTCCAGGATCAGATGAGGTCAGGTGCCTTTAGGGTTCTAATAAATTAAATAAATAACATTTTATAATAAATAAAATAAAATTATAACGTGTGTGTGTATGTGTGCGCCTTCCAGTTGTGTGTATGTGTGCGTGTTGACTTATGTTGACTCCATGAATTTCATAGGGTTTTCTTAGGCAAGGAATCCCGAGAAG